AAAAAAATAAATCATAACTAAATTTATGCTATTTTTAAGTTAAAATTGTTACACGAACTCTACAGTTTAAGGGATAGGAACATGCAGGTGAATATATGTGTGGAATATATACTGCTCTGTTAGGTTTATCTTCAAGAATAGATTAGCCATATATAGTTAGTAAGTTTTAAAGATAATGATTGACAAATCCAAATTGTAGTTAGTAAGCTCTAAGGTAGGGTGTGAAATCCACAATGGATAAATCTGAAATTTATGAATGTATGGTGAGGAACACCTGGAGTTAGAGGGCTGATGAAGGTAGTTGGAACCAGATGGTTTAAATAGATACCTCCCTAGTTGGGGTGCAGATACGGCAGATAGTGTAGAACCTTTGGGCAGACTAATTAAATTAGACACTCAAAAGATACACGTGTGGCTTGATATACTATTATTGTAACCACATTATAAAACTTCGTCTATACTCTAATAAAAAATCCCCAGGCCAAAGAAGATTACCTTAACACCAAAAAAAAAATAATAATACAGTAATAATATACCAACTTCTAATAAAGTTTGCAATTTATATATATCAGAATTTTTTTTAATGCAGTTTTATACAGATTTACAAAAAAATTAAATAATAAATCAAATAAAAATCTTTGCAAAACTTCAAATCTGGTAGTTATACATATAGAAATTAAATGCTATTTCTGTATAAAACTTTAAATTTTATAAAATTTTTGCAAAAATTTGCAAAAATACAAACTTTTGCAGATTTACACTTATTTAATTTCCCCAATATAGTAAATATATATATACTGTATATATTTAAAGTGTTTATCAGGAATTTGTAAATAATTTTTTTTAGTTTAATTTAGTTTATTTTTGTTTATAAGCAATCTAAACTTTTTTTATAATATAAAATTAAATACTATTATAATACAATCCTATTATTAAAAAAAAAAGTTATTAAAATATTTTAAATTTTTAAAAAAATAGATCATAACCAAATTTATAGCAATTTTCTAGTCTAGAATTGCCTTACAGTTTAAGGAATAATATTTTAGTACTTTTTAATCTAATATTTGTTTTAAACTCTAATCCTATTTTAAATTTACAATATAATAATGCGCTAATTCTAAATTTTAATAATATAAAAAATATATACAATTAATTCTTTCTAAACTTAAATTTTAAATAAACCTAAAACTTAATAAAACGCTATTTGTTATCTAAACAGAACTCTAAAATTTTAAATTTTATTACGTATAAAGTTCGAACAGAATTAAATACTAGATACATTTGTAAACCAAACTTTTTGAAGTTACTATATTCAGTTTAGCGAGAATCGACTGTATATATATTAAATATCACTAGGTGTGCTTTAGTACTATTTATATATAAAAAAAAAAAAACTTGATAAATTATTGTTAATTAAACTATATAGGAAATTCGTTAAACAACTAGAATTTAAATATTCAAGATTTTTTTTTTAAAAAAAAAAATAGATACAGGTTTAAAACTTTCTGTTCTTTTTAATCTTGCCAAACCGGATTGTGATTTAATGTTAATTCTACAAAACCCTTAGCGTTAGTGAAAATTCAATATCAGATTTAACAATAGAATTTATTTAATTGAGATATTTGAGACATTTTTAAAGAAGGTATTGCATGTTCCAATAAATAAGTGCGGAACCAGAATGGGCTTTTAATTTTATATATAATTTACTAGATATCCACTAACATATATATATATATAACGCTACTGCTCTGGCTGAATAAGATTAAATTAAAAGCCTAATTTTTTTTTAGTAGTAATAGTATGTTTCTCAATAAAAGCCACATTTTGTGTCTAACATTTTTATATTTAACGATAGCATGCTTTTGTTTACTAACCTTTTTTTTTGTTAGACCTTAAAGATGTCCTCTTTTTCTAGAGGTTTTGTCATTCATCGGGGATTATACCTTTTGCCAGGGGTTTCATCTTTCGCCGGGGGTTTCATCTTTCGCCAAGGGTTTCATCTTTCATCAGGGGTTTCACCTTTCACCAGAGGGTTTCGTTTATCATCTTTCACCAATTTTCGTTTTCGTCTTTCGCCATCTATGAAAATAATTTCATCTAATAACTATAATATAGAATATTATACTACTTCTTCAACTGATTCGACTTCATCGATATCAGATGATTCTGATAATTCGATTTCATTCGAAACAAACCAAACTTCAAATTCATCAAAATTTATGTTTCTCAATCCACATTTAAATTATAAACATTTTATCTCTAAATCATCTCAAATATCTGAAAATATAAAAAATCGAAACATCAAAGATGCAAACGTTGAATTAGTGAATTCGTTATATATAACCTTTTGTAATTTGACAACTCAATTAAATGCTAAAAGAAATAAGAGAAATGAAACTACCAAAATCATAAACCAAACGAAATTAGAAGAATTAAGAGAAGAATTAATTGAAAAAGCAAAGGTATTAAAAGAAGAAATTCAAAAAGACGAGCTTGAACTTGAAAAAATTGAAAAAGAAATGTTACAAGAAGGTTTAAAGATTCCGAATGATACACATCACGAAGTTATTGTTGGAGGAGAAGGATTGGCTAAAGTAGTAAAAACTGTTGGTGTACCGTTAGATTCAACACAAAAAGGAGGAAATGTAGTTAAAGATCATATGACGATTGCACGAGAATTAGACTTGATAGATTTAGAATCAGCATCAAATGTAACTGGAACAAGTTGGTATTACCTTCGGAATGCAGGTGCATTATTGGAATTAGCATTGATTCAATATGCAATTTATAAAGTTATTTCTAAAGGATATACACCGATAATTACGCCTGATGTTGTAAAAACTGAATATAGTGATGGATGTGGATTTCAACCAAGGGATGGAGAGGTATCACAAAATTATTTTGTGATAACATCACCTATGGGTAGTGTAGGAACAGAAGCAACGTCATTTACATTAACGGGAACAGCAGAAATTCCACTTGCAGGAATTTATTCAGATAAAATTATCCCGTCATCTCAGTTACCAATAAGAATGGTAGGGTTTGGAAGAGCTTTTAGAGCCGAAGCAGGATCTAGAGGACAAGATACAAAAGGATTGTATCGTGTACATCAATTCAGCAAAGTTGAAATGTTTTGCTTGACATCTCCAGAAGAAAGTGAAGAAATGTTGAAAGAGATTGTGAATATACAAGAAGAAATAGTTAAAGATCTAGGGTTATGTTATAGGTAAAAAAAAAACAAAAATATATTAGGATGATAAATTATGGTTGTAATAAGATTTAGGATTAATCTCGAATGATAATTGGAAATAGGATATTAGACATGCCGACTTATGAACTTGGAGCAAGTGCGTATCGTAAATATGATATGGAAGCTTGGATGCCAGGTCGTGGTAAATGGGGTGAAGTAATTATTAAACTAACTTTGCTATATTTATTATATTTATTATGTTTTTTTTATAAATCGAGTAATTTCTAAGTTAATGCTATGTATTATATAATTTCAGATATCATCGGCATCTAACTGCACAGACTATCAATCCCGGCGCCTGAATATTCGACACAAGCCATCATTACCATCATCAAATGATAGTACAATTGATGGTACAAGACATAGACAACATTCAGCGGAATTTGTTCATACATTAAACGGAACCGCAATTGCCGTGCCGAGGATTATTATTGCAATTCTTGAAAATTTCCAAAGAGATGATGGGAAAATTAGTATACCTGAAGTATTAAAAAAGTGGATGGGTGGTATGGAAATTATTGAATAAATTAGTAGCACGAGGAGGTAAGAGCATTTTTAATTCTTTTAAAATTTTAAATAGTTGGCAATGTATCTAAATGTCCAGTAGCTATTATATAGTGTAGGTTATTGCTATCATCATCGCGATAAATTTAAATTGAAAAAGATAAAAAAATTTTTTTTTATAATTCTAAAAATTAAATTACTAAACTTAAAAAAAATGTAGATATATAATTAGAATTGGAATTCTAAGTTTATAAATGCTGTAACAAAAAATTTAATATAATTAATAACTTCTTTTTTTTTTTCTAAAAACTACATAATAATACAGTACCAAGTTATACTTTATTAATCACTATTTTCTAACAATTACACTAAAATTAAGATTAAAATTTTTTAAAAAATATTCTGTATATATTTACTTATATTATTAGAGCACAAAAACTATAGCTACTACAGTATATTAGCTCCTTTACTAAAAGATAAAAGTTTTTAAAAAATAAAATAATGAGTATTACAGTAATTAAAAATATTGTATATAGTAGTGTATAGTAAAAAGATCATGCAACACAAGAAGTCAAAGAATGGATAGGTTTAGTTAGGAAAAAAGAAAAACTAAATGAAAAAGAGAACGAAGTAGAAAATAATCTCACATTAAATGGAAGTGAGGTATTTACAAATCTATATGGGCACCCAATAATATTGCAAAACAGGAGAATTTATCAAAAGGAGAAGTGGTAGATTCCAAAAGAGAAAGGAATGACAAAGAGTTGTCCTTAACTATATGGGATTTATCTACATCGGCAAGACTAGAAAATATAAGAAGATGCTTGAAATAGTATAGAGTTCTAGTAAATATTGAATAGCGCACTATGACAGAACATAAAAAAGCTGCTTATGTTAGAGTTAGATGTACAAATAAAGAAAAAAGACGTAGCCTTCAAAATGCATGGGCAATCCACTATGAAGCAGGAAAAATAGCTAGAGTAACAAGTGACAGATTTAATATAAAAGAATTGGGGCTCAGAA